TTACGTTACTTAAAAGTCTTCATTTATTCATTTAAATTTAAAATTCGTTTCACTTTAACTTGTTAATTTTCATTTTCAATCTTGAAATTTGTTTCACTTTATTTATGTTTTCTTGACCTTATTTTTTATTTTTGAGAGAGTCTCCTTAGCATTTTCATTCCAATAAATAATTTCAAATACAACGAAAAATCATAGCATTACAACAAACATAATTAATTTTAAAATAGGGGATAAAATCATAATAAAAAATGTTGAGTTGTGGTGTGAAGAATGAAGAATATGGTTTGGGTATTATAGAAAGAAAAAAATTGGGTGTTTTTGAAAAAAAATTAGGAATTTTTTGGTTATTTTTTGGATGTTTTACAGTTAAAATAATCTTGGCCGTTGTTTTTTTAAATTATTACTGTTGGAATGTTAGGATTGTACCACGTGGCAGTTGACCAGATTGGACAAATTAATTTATTGTTGGAAGCCAACGGCCCAGATTAAAGGCTGTAGGAAATCCAACGGCTCGAGTAGATCAAGAAAGAGTTGTTTGGCTTTGCGAGGCAGCACGTGTGGGGGGAGGAGGCGCTGTTGTCTCTTCCACCCAATCACCTCTAACTTTTTCCACCGCTGGATCACATTTTTTTTGGCCGAGGGCAGTTCAACCCGGGCAATTAGATGGTCGCTGGAGATGCTCTTATAGAATTCTAATTCATGATATTAAATTTAAGTGAAATTTTGCAAAAATAATATTGCAGTGCGAACATACATAGTTAATAGTAAGTAATTTTGAATCATGTTATTACATTGCAAGAGAATTAAACAAGTGATTAGCGTCGTATTGCCTTAAATTGGTTAGTACATTTGATATTCCTACTTAAACGACCAAAACTTCTGAATTCTACTCTCGCACTCCAAAATCTAAGTCGAAGATAAACAAAATTTACAACCCTAATAGTCAAAATGGATAATGTTAGGACACCATATATATGTTCTATATCGTATCATGTTTTTAACAGAAGCAAAACCTACTTGTATTGATGAACTTCTACATTTATTAGAGAAATGATATGATAGATATACATAAATGTGGTTTCCTAACATCATTCAATCAATCATAGTAAGATTATAATACATAAGCGTAAATGATGAGATTGCGGAGAATAGGATTTTTAATTTATGTAAGTCGAGTTCAAAACCCTCCACTGCAACCAAAAGAAAAAGAACTTGTATCAGAGCACAACATACATTGTGCTTAAAAAGTTTGTTTTGTATCATTTCAACAGTAGTAGAATTGAGCCGTTGGTTTATGTGGTTTTGTTTGCAACAACAAAAACAAAGGCCCTATAATTTGTTATCACGATACGAATCTATGCAGTATCACATGAACCCAAATTAGTTGGAAATCTCCCGTTAATCCTCGGTTTTTGGTGCATTACTGATGCAGCATCAGCAATCAGAACATTGTTTTAGGTTTCATCATCCGTAATATATTGCGGATTCTTTGAACCTGTTAACTTATTCGGACTCGGTCTTGCAGTTTTGCTACTCGGAAATTAATCTCGGATTTGGTCAGGTTTTCGAATAAAATACGAATTCAGTCAATGTCAATCAAGAAAAACGTCGCTTTGAGTACAATTGACGGTTAAGGCACCTGTCTTTACCTAAAGGGATTGAATCAGTCAAGATGTTCAAAACTATCATTTGTTTATGGTCAATGACTAGGTCAGATTATTTTTCACTTCATCCTTTTCATATGCTAATTGGTATTTTCTTTCGTGTAATTGGTGATTTATTAAGTAATGCAAGCAGTGACTGATTCATAAATTTTTAGCATGTAAATATTTATGAAACTGATGTAAACGTTTATGAAACGGAATCGGCTTTAGAGTCATTTGTAACATCTCATGCGAAACTTAGATGTGAACAGCTATTTGATTTCAGAAGAAAAAAAAATATATATATATATATGTATGTATTTCTGCAGAATATATGTTTCCAAATAGGGTTTACCCTTCCAACTAATTGACCAGATAAAAGCCTTACATATTACAATGAAAGTCAGACAAGAAATTAGGTGACTTCTGGGTTGTATCATATTATTTCAACTCTTGGCTGATCCGTAGATGCAAACATTTCTTCCGTTTAATTAAATAATGCAATATTCAAAAGAATATTATTACCATAAAACTATGTTTTTTGTCACAGAGAGAGACTGGATCATGTCAAAAGAGAGAAACTTCCCTCTCTCTTATCTCTCTTTATCTGTAAACAAGAATGAAGCTTTAGCAATGGAGGACAGAAAAGCTAAGATAGTAGCTGCATCGTCGATCATCACTCTCGTTGTCTTCATAATCGTTGCACGAATCTCTCTCAAACTTACCCCAACTTTCTTTCTCATTTGTGGGGCAGGTGTTGCTGTGATCCTTGCTGTGTTTGTATGGCTAGTGATCAGACATCATTACAATTTCCGGAGAAGGCTCTTGGAATCAAAACATGCGTCAGAAGGCCGCGAGCTGCGCGTGGAGTATAGTTTTCTTCGAAAAGTTGCAGGGGTTCCTACGAAGTTTAGGTACAAGGAGCTAGAGGATGCAACAGATCATTTCGAGACACTGGTTGGGAAAGGGGCTTCAGCTTCTGTTTACAAAGGGATTCTAAGTGATGGGACTCAAGTGGCAGTGAAAAAGCTCGATGTAGAGGAGCGCGGAGAGAGGGAATTCAAGTCAGAAGTTGCGGCAATTGCAAGCCTGCAACATATCAGTCTTGTGCGCCTTCTCGGTTATTGTTGTGTTCCCGCAGGACCGCGTTTCTTGGTTTATGATTTCATCCCAAATGGATCGTTGGATTTGTGGATTTTCTCTCAAAAGGGAAGGTCTATTCGGTGTGGTGGGTGCTTGCCTTGGGACTCAAGGTACAGGGTTGCAATTGATGTTGCTAAAGCGCTTTCTTACCTGCATCATGATTGCAGGTCAAGGATTTTGCACCTTGATGTGAAGCCAGAGAACATACTTTTGGATGAGAATTACAGGGCAATTGTGGCGGATTTTGGCCTTTCGAAACTAATGGGGAAAGACGAGAGTAGAGTTATGACCACGATTCGGGGGACTAGAGGCTACTTAGCTCCTGAGTGGCTCTTGGAGCATGGAATTTCTGAAAAAACGGATGTGTACAGTTATGGAATGGTGCTTCTTGAGATGATCGGAGGGCGGAGAAACGTTAGCTTTGTCGAAATGGGCGCCAACGACAAGTCCCACAGGAAAAGGGAGTATTTTCCCAAAATTGTGACTGAGAAAATGAGAGAAGGCAAGCTTATGGAAGTTGTTGATCAAAGGCTAATAGAAAGCGGAGGCATGGATGAAAAGGAGATAAAAAGACTAGTTCATATAGCTTTGTGGTGCATACAAGAGAGGGCTAGGCTTAGGCCTACCATGTCACATGTGGTGGAAATGCTCGAGGGCCGGACGCCCGTGGAGGAGCCTCCCGACACCCAAATGGTGGTTGTCGATTTTTCAGCAATGGATGAAGAGGCGGCGAACGGCAATAGGAGGCCAAAGATTGGTGGTGCCGCCTTGGCAACACAAATAGGGAGCAATGATGCATCCGCATCAACATGGTCATATGGAGATGCAATGTCCATGATAACTCCAAGATAGATCCATAGACATGATTGATTAGTTGCTTCTTAATTTATAGATATTTTAGTCTAAACAATGCACTTTTTAGGCTCACCAATTTTTTCTTCGTGGTAAATTTTATGCTCCTTTATATATATGAACATCTTTTAATACATAAGCGTAAGTGTTGAGAGTGCGGAAAATATGATCTTTGATGTTATAAATTTTATGCTCCTTCATATATATGAACATCTTCTAATCTTCTGTTACTCTTAATTATCTGTGGTATACACTTGTGTATTAAACTATCGATAAAGAAATATTCAAATTCATTTTTGTATTGTCCTTAAAAATGTTCACAAATCATAATTCCCCTCTCCCTTCGGCATGTAACTCACCTTCGAAACTAAATTCCTTGTTCCACTTTACTGTATATCGTCAAGTCTGTTGAACTCTCTAATTAAGTCATGTAATGGGCCAACGTAATAAATTTAGTATCGAACAAGTAATTAACAAGAGTTGAAGCTAACTGTTCACTCATAACAAAGAAAAATATCATTAGACAGTTATACCTGGAGGAAAAGAACATGATTTTATGAATGCGATAGGACCAATGTCCAGTATTTCAAGTGTCTGTGTATATTACAGGAGCATTTTTGCTCCCACTATATTTTGGTCTATGCTTATCATACAACTAATCTTAAGTGTCCGTGTATATTATAGGTGCATTTTTGCTCACCACTATATTTTGTTGCATTCTTATCATACAACTAATCATTTGCCATGTATCCTTTCACGTAACTCTAATTAACTTACATTTAAATGTTACCTTTTAAATTTTGAAACAAATTAATCTAGGTTGAGTGAATGACACATGACAGATTACCCAAGTTTAGGACGGTAAGGAAAAGTGCTTCCATATATTACTGATTCTGGAATTTGTCCTTCACCCTTCATATTTCACAGACACGTGGCACACATAGATGGTGCTACGAAGATCGACGGATGAGAATCCTCAGCACTTATAAGCGCTTCAATTGAAAACGACACTCTGAATTGCGAAGGCAGAACATAAAACGACAGAAACGGGGGGGGTGAACTAAATATTTGGGGACGAAGGGAAAGGGGAAGGGAGACAGCGTCCAAGGCTTGACTGAGGTATGCACTCTGCATCAATGGCGTAAAACCCTAAAACCCAATTTTATTTTCTGCTCAATTTTATCTGATTTTGTTTTTTTAATTTGCTTAACTTAATTTTAAAAATTCAATCTTTATATCATTTCTAGTTTCTGTTTTGCTGTTTTGTAGGAACCGAACCAAGCCTTTAATTTTTGAGTTCTGGGGTTTTTTTTTTTTTTTTAATTGTGTTATTGGATTGTGTGGTTCGATTTATGGTAGATTGCAAATTTTTGTAATGATTTTAGTTTTTCTGTTTTGGTTTTTTTTTAATAAAATTTTTGGTTTCTGGATTATGAGGTGTTAGGAACAATGTTAAAGATTGCAAAATTTCTTGTTATTTTAGCCCATATGGTTGAAAAGAGTGATTGAAGCAGCCTATGGTGCATGTGTATCTGTTTGGCATTTGGGAAGACCAAAACTCCTAATGCAGAACCCGAGTTGCTATTCTTCGAATGCCCTTGTGTTAGTGTTGTTCGGATTAGATTAAGGTTTTCACGTTCTTGATATGATGAGGAAGATGCTGTCCGATTGGTCTGGGGAGGGAAGTTAGCCTTAGCCTCGTCCGGCCCTGCTTCTACTAGAAACCAGTGGCGAATCGAGGTACAGATGGAAATCTATGTGAGCTGACAGCTCTCAAAATTGTATTTCCTGCAGCCGGAGTTTAGGAAGTAGTTACATATTGACCTCACTAGTTTTGTAATGATCATGTACTGAAGGTTAAATGTTTGCTAGCATTGTCAAAGTAATTTTATGCAACTGCTTGTTTGAGTTTTCGGAGGTTGCTCCAACATTTTAACTATGTGTACTTTATTTGTTTTAACATTATGGTTTCAAAGTTGTAAAGCTTATATGAATTTTCTGGTGTTTCTTAATTGCAGGATCTGTGCTCTGTACACTTGCTGCAGAGGAGTTTGGTCAGTGGTATTTACTTGAGGGACGTAATATGAGCTTTACTGGTCCATCTGTTGGTTCTGGTTAGTTTGTTTGCCTTTCTTTCCTTTGCTATTATCTTGTAAAGAAGTTTTGATACTGATTGCCATATCCATGAGTGGTGACTGAGTCATGTCATTTTGTGTTTGTGTCAAAGGACAATTAACCTTAACCCTACCTAATTAATTGATCGTGTCAAACAACTTGACACCAACGGACCTGTCTACTAATGACGCTGTGTACAAGTCGACTCGTATATTTTATGAGCTAGAAGCATATGACTAGGATCCCATTTGTTCTTAAACCAAACCATTACTCGAACATTAATATCCACTATCTAAGAGCTAGCAACAATAAGAAAACATATCCTGTCCTTTTATAAGAATTTGTAAAATATTCTAGTAAAAAAACGAAGAGATCACTCATGCTTTTATGGTTCTTCCATTTTCCTTGTTGAAGATTTTGGGCTATCTTTCATGCTTATCAGTTTGCCTGAGGTTTCATTGGTTCTGTTATTTACACCTTTCTCATTAAATTTGGTTGTAACATGATTTCAGGTGGTAGAACTGCTAGGAGGGCGTTTGAGTTTGGAAGAACCTATGTAGTCAGACCTAAAGGCAAACACCAGGCCACCGTAGTTTGGCTACATGGCCTCGGCGATAATGGTTCAAGGTGATACTTTGGCCCCATTGCTCATGTTACCAATTTTCTGAAGGTTGCGCAGTAATTAAAAAACTGAGGAAGTGTTTCATATAAATGACTTTTTTCTTAATTTCTAAGTTCCTTCGTAAAAGGGAAAAGTAAATTTTTTTTTTTTTTTTTTGTGTGAATAAAACTAGAGAATCATGTGATCTATAGAAATTAGATTTATCCTTTTTTCTTTATATGTATGCACTTGAAGTCGTAAAATTTTGTTTAAGATTTATATTTTTCTGTCTGACAGCTGGTCCCAGCTCTTGGAATCCCTCCCTCTTCCAAATGTAAGAATAAATACATTCAAACTAATGGAAATTGAATTTTCATAATTTACTGTAATGACTTGTGGTGAAATTTATGTGATGCAGATTAAGTGGATCTGTCCAACTGCTCCTACTCAGCCAATTTCAGTTCTTGGTGGCTTTCCTTCCACTGCTTGTGAGTTTTTTCCATTAATAATCCACACGCTAATGTATGTTCAGCAGTTGACCCGATTTTAGTGACAGAAAAAGAAAATGTCATTTGGTGTATTGGATACTAGAATCAAACGTCATTAACTCCCCTAAAATGCTTATGTGATATGAACAGGGTTTGATGTTGGAGAACTTTCGGAAGATGCTCTGGATGATGTAGAGGGTTTGGATGCTTCTGCAACACATGTTGCAAAATTGTTATCGACAGAGCCTGATGACAGTATGTCTCCTCTTGCTCGATTTTAGCATTTGATGAACTCCAATTGCCGCTATCATTTGTTTGAATTGTTTCTGAGTGGATACTTAGATTTCATTGCCCCTACTGATCGATGAGATGTTTTGAAAAGACAACTTCAAATAATTTACCCCTCTTCTCTGTGGGGCCAATATTGCCTCTGTATGAACTTGTAAATTATGGTAGCTTTTTTTCAAAGTAAAATCTATGCAGGACGCCTCTTCCACGAAACTTTGTTAATGCCATAATTCTAACACCACATACACTTTTGAACTTTCAACTGTAGTTTTACCTTTGGTAAACTAAATGGATTTCAATATCATTGTGTCGAGTTTTTTCTGTTACAGTTAAACTTGGCATTGGAGGTTTTAGTATGGGTGCAGCTACTGCACTATACTCCGCCACCTGCTTCTCTACAAGAAAATATGGGAATGGTAATCAATACCCATGCAATCTGAGTGCCGTTGTTGGACTAAGCGGATGGCTTCCATGTTCCAAGTTTGGCCTCTTACACTCTCCTCATCTCGACTGAATTCTTTTGCGGTATATTTAAGTGCCTATAGTTACAATTCCCATTCTCTTTCAGGACCTTGGGTAAGAAGTTAGAAGAAGTAGATGAAGCTGCAAGGCGTGCTGCCTCCATTCCGCTTTTGTTATGTCATGGGAAAAGTATGCACTATTATCTCTCGTATAAAAAATTTGTTGGTTTTATTAGTCTCTTGAATTTGTCTTCATCGAAGAAAAGGTTTTGTGCATCCTTGTCTCTAGCATCTTCTTGCGTAGGCACTCCGAATTTTAAATTCTAAGCCGGGCCTAGTTCATAATGCTGTGGATGTGATTTATTGCAGGTGATGATGTGGTTCCTTACAAGTTTGGTGAGAAATCGTCGCAGACCTTAAGTTCAACTGGCTTTCAGAATGTGACATTCAAATCCTACAACAGGTATGTGATTCTTAGATTATGTTGAAAAGTTGTTGCATAAAAATTTATTAACACAATGAAATACAAGAATGATTTGTTTGAGTATGCAGGCTTGGTCATTATACAATTCCGGAAGAGATGGACGAGGTTTGTGCTTGGCTAAGATCAAAGTTGGGGCTTGACGGGACTTCATAGAACGCCCGTGAAACTCTCGAGCAGCGGCAAATGAAGAAGAAGCACAGAATATGTAGGAAACAATAACTTTAATGTGTTCCGTACGACCTTTATGTCCTTTATGACCTGTTATTATTTGGCTGGTGGCACTAGTTAAATCGATATTCGCATGTAATAACTGGCATTCATTATTTGAATTAAGAACATGTCGTTTGGAAGTAAACAGTTATCTCTAACGTAGGACCTTGGTTTGTTTATGTTGTCTCCCTTCGACTGCCTGAGATTGCAGTTTCCTGTCGAGTTATTTCTGCGTATGCGTCAAATTACAGAAGAAATTAAACATGAACTTGGCGGATAAATGCTCTTGCGAGACAAAATGAAACAATTTATAGCATTATTCAAACATTTGAAAAAATTAGAAAAAATAAATAAATCAAAGACTGAAACAGTCGGATTCGTTTCCGCTTGCAAAAACAGCTCCCTTACAAGGCCCTCATGCACAAATCACAAATTACACCAAACTATTTCGGATTCCTCAGTTGAAAAAATGAAATGAAAAAGCCAAAACATGGTATAAAAACACGCGTCGGTTTAATGCTTGTGAACACAGACAATGAGTACCAATTCGGGCTTTCTTTCGGAAACAGGAGCATGTAATTTCCTTCCAAGTAAGCCATCCGTAACAAAGACAGGCACAACAATAACTGGCCCAACCACCCTTTTTCCGAACGGCGATTCCTTCTTCTATTTCCACAAGTTGAGGGTTTGTTTCACTTTTGAGCCTCTTTAACGAAAGTTACATCTCCACTTCCCGCCACCGGTGAAAGTGAAGCCAGTGGAGACAGCAGGCGTTTTTCTTGATCATCATCAACTTCCGCTGACTCACGAGGCGTTGTGATTGATAGGGTTTCAGTACCATCTTCTAGAGAATCTGGACCCAGAAAGAAGAATGTTAGTGATGTAACAGCTATAGTCACCACGCTGAATACAGACACTAAAATATTGGGTTGAAAATAGTCAAGGGAACTCACCTGACTCATGATGGTATTCGGGTATCTGTTTAACAGTGGTCACTTGAAGGCTTTCGGGAAGAAGACAACTGCACAAGGCACCTGAAATTACAACGAAAACATGGACCTTAAGATTTCGAGCAATAAATCATAACCATGTGCGTTTGCACATGTATCCGAGAATTCCCAATCACCATGAGAAGTAAAGGGCAGCACAGAAATAATACACAGAATATGACACAAGAAGATGAGAGACACAAATCACAGCATCTAAATCCAAACCCTCACGGATTGGGTCATGGCTAAGTTAAAGCTATCACAAATGATATGATTTTGCAGTTTTAAGAGACATTCATACAGTCCTACCTGAACGAAAAAAACTATTTCATGTGGTAATTACAATCATCTCAAAGATTTACATCACAGACTAAATCAATTCAAAAATCATCTAAGCGTAAATGAGTTCCAGCTAACACATACTACTAATTGCTTCTAGATTATGTCCATAGACCATAATACTTGAAACTCTAAAAAAAAGGATCAAACACCAATGAAATAGAGGAGTACTAGAATAGTCAGTAGAAAAGTTCTCTTTACCTAGGCGAGCAAGTCGATTCACCCATCCAGGAACCTGTTTTTCTGTCAACCTACGTGCCATGTCATCTGTGAAATGGTTACAATTCTTGGAGATGAGGTGATAGGTATCCCCATGATACTCTGCCGCAACATGCTCAATAAATGTCCTAAATTCAGAGGGAGGCATATTTATACGGCCAAGTTGAATGGAACATCGATAAATGAAACCTGGGCAGCTCCTTGGTTCCACTTCAAAAACTCCACTAACTGGGAAGTCATGGGCTCCAAAACCATACTCTTTGCCATGGACTGTTCATACAACAGACAGATGACATCGTTAAACATAATTAATCCTTATCTGCATTTCAAGGAAATGAACGATAATTTACTCATTGGTCAGTGCAATTTCCTGAAAGGACGATTCAAGATTCAGTTTGACTTGTAAAACCACTTTCATAAAAGCTTATAATAAAGTAATATCCAAAGTCAATCAACCAGACTAACACACCGAGAAATCTATCTCTAATACCTACACACCCAGATATGCAGCACATTCCAATTCTTCATAACCAAGTACAACAACAACAACAAAGCCTTTTCCCACTAAGTGGGGTCGGCTTCATAACCAAGTACAAAGGAGCAAAAAAGCTGGCCAATTCATATCACATTGTAAAACTTGATCACCATTGCACCATACGATATGGTATACAACAGCATCGCTCTAGATCCCGGTGTAAACCTTTCAATTCTTCCTACTACACATCTCACTACAATTGGATGCAAAGAAGCCAAAGTATTCAATGACATAATAAGAAATAACTTCACTTTATATGCAAGCACATTCATACTTCAAAACTGCAAATAAGAATCAAACAAATCTGAAAACCCGACATCTTTCCTTCTCCACGTAAGTATTGAAAGTACCGATCTTCTTTTTTCCCTTCTTGAAAAACCAATCTTTAAACTCATAAACAATAAGAATAGATGCATATCATCATAATTAAGCATGCCCAGAAAAGGAAACAAACGAATCCAAAAATTAACCAAACAAAAACCAACAAAGAAAACCAAAATGCAGAGATACCCAGATCACCAAAACACATAAAGAAACGAAAAATCAAACAAAAAAGAATCAACTTTCAGAATTTTCAAAAAAAAAAAAGAAAAAGAAAAAAAAAAGAAAAGAAAAGGATTTGAAAAGGTTTCAAATTTACCTTCAATACCGGAGTGAAAGATTCCGAGACCGAACCAGACGGTGTAATTATTGAGGGGGGTGAGGTCGTAGACATTCAACACCACCTGTGTCTCGTAGCCCTTGCTGCTGTTTTCAATCCCGCCGCCGCGTCGAGAGGTGTTCTCCAACCCCATTTTTACCCCCCAATTGTTTTCGAATTTCTATAAAAGGCCCCACAAAGATTTCCAATTTTGCGTTTTTGTTCTTCTTCTCCTCCCCTTCTCAGGCCATCGGAGAGACAGAGAGAGAATGTTGAATGAGACGGCCTTCAGTTCAAAGATCCGTCTTCCGGCCAGACGAGGATAAAAATAGAAAGCTTTGGGACTTCTGATGATTAAATTAAACGAAAAATTAACACAACCAAAAAAGTTTAATTTCAAAAATGGAAAGACCTCATGGGCAAGACAAGCTGGTGAAATTTTTATGTGTGTCGTTTATGCTATTTCTCACGTGTATATTATTAAAATTTTATAGTGTTTCAGATTAATGAAATGTTTTAGATGTTTTCATCGTTAGATTTTATCTTGACTAAAAATTTAACAGTTAAAAATTTTGAAGTATCTCTTACTTAATAGCATAGAAAATCAAGTTATAATAGTAGTAGATGACATAATTAATTATGATTTGCTCCAAAAAAAAAATATTCAAATGGAACTGGTTGAGCGCTATTACGACTTCATTTAATAATACATATGGATAATATAAATATTATATTATGTTGAATTGAGAAGTCCATTTACCTTGTTCTATGTCAATCACATGCATTTTTTTTCTTTTAAAGTGTATTAATAAAAAGTAAATATACATGTTAATTTGAATGGTGCTATCTAAACATTCTTTTTATTTTCACATATTCTCTGTTAATTTTTCTTTAAACATCTTTAATTCATTCAACCGACAATTAAAAATTAAAAAGATATGTGGAAGTAAATTTTACAAAAAAAAATAGCACAATTAAATTTGTTTTGTAAGTTTATTTAATCATAACATTTTTTTTTAATTACCTAATAATAAGTCATGAAAAACACATCAATTTATTTATCTCTTATTTTTACATATAATGAATTTTGTCGTCTAATACATAATTTTCTTTTAACCTTTCTGAAAAAGTCATATTTAAAATTAAAAAAAACAATAAAAAAGAGTTTTTGCGAACCTTTTTGGTTGTGGATGTTAGAAGGACTGTGAATTTAGCAGGAGCGAAAATTTGGAGCGTTTTCTCGCGAGAAGTTTTATTTGCTCAAGGGTAGTCACATGGGTAATTGAGCAAGGGGCGGGGCACTTTCGCCGGTCCACGTTGTGGTACAGCAGTAGTAGGACCGTGACCGTGTGACACCATCCTACACTTCTGCTTTTTTTATTTTAAAATTTTTTGAATTGCTTACGTAAAGGCACTTCTACCACTCAAAATTTATAATTAAAACCCTCGATTGAATCGAGTTTACCGTATATTTTGATTGAATCGAGTTTACCGTCGCATGATATTTTAATTCCGATTTGTTAAGCAAAGTAAATCAGCATTATTATATACAAATTTATTCTTACATGACAATGCATCATTAAATCAGGACGACACAACGACGGTAAACTCATTCTCGGCATAAAGACGTATTCTCATTACATTGGTGGACAAAAATTCCAAATATGCAAGTGTTGCGAAATGAACATATAAATACATTTCTTCATTACCTCTCGGCATCATATTTATCAGCTTGGTTCGTTAACAGAATGTGAAGAAGTTTTTCCGGGCATTCATTCGTTTTTCTATTCGAACTGAAGCACTAAATCACATACATTTTCTTTTATCAGAGAGTTTTCGACAACAATCAGTAAGCTACTGAAAACTGCAGAATTGGAGCAAACTTACTTTTCAAACCCTTTCGGAAAAAGGAGGATGACAAAAAAAGAAACAAATTCACCGGTAGCGCAAACGTATGCAATCACGGTTGGTTGTTGTCCGGTGTTGTCCATCGCCGGAGGCGTGCACTGCGTCTCCTCCTAACACCCGAGTCGCCAGTCTGAAGACTCGTTATCCTCTTCTAGAGTAGAAGATGCTGCTTCGCCCTCGTAGCTCTCCCCCCAAAGCCTGGTTGCTCTCCTTCTCATACTAACTTGTGCTCTGGTTCTTGTGGTACCAGACCAGCTGCTGCTCCTTGAACTGGACCCGGGTCGAACTACTCTAACTAGAAAGAATATGGTTAGCCAGCCCGCACCGTCATCAGCCGGCAAACTACTGCTATCATCACCCCTATCCTCTCCAACTGAAGATTGGATTGAGCTGAACAAGTCGCCAATATCCCTCTGTCGCTCCAAACTCCTCCAGGTACGCTGTCGCTCTGGATCTGCCTCTGATGGGCACACTAGTGGATGCTCCAGCCTCGCATGCGTCCTGAGATCTGCATAGGTTCCGCTATAATTACATGTCTCACAAGAACAATTTCTTGATTTCGAGTTCATGAAACAACGAGCAGACTCAACAATAATCCAATCTGTTATCTCCCCACGGCAGAGTGGGCACACGAGCTTCGGATCAGCCTGATGCTCACAAGATACGGCATTCATGGAGGAGAGCACCTCCTCAATTGTACGATCGTTTTGCACATGAGTAATTGTTGATTCAAGAGTTGCAGATGGAGACGACTGAGTATCTGATATCTGAGTTGCTCCTTCTGGTGGGATAGTTGGGGAGGTTTCTGCCGAAAATGACTTGCAGTACTGGTCTAGACAATTGGAATGGCGGTAGCTCGTGTCACACATGTAAGGGCGGCACCCTTGTTCATACGATGAACATATTAGGAGAACTGCATTGTGTGGATGCTCCAGGCAAACAGGGCATCTGGCTTCTTCCCATTCTTTCACATTGTCCTCAGTTTCTGAAGGAATTCTGGGTGACGACCACCTTGTATGACTGGAGCTGCATGGATAAGGAGATGCTCTATACCTATCAGGAGTCACAGAACGGCCCCTCCTATCCTTAGGCATTTGAGCTCTCAAAGATGTTTCACGCTCTCCCAAAATGATAGTAGCAGAGCTATTGAAACAAATAAAAGGCCACATTAACATGAGTAATAGAACAACCACCTCATTTACGAATTACAGATGACGTTCAGCTAAAGGCTTAAGCGCATACCAAGAACAGAACAACAACAATTACAAATAAAAAAGATGTCAAAATTCAACAAACAAAATGAAAAAGTCTCAAGTACATTCAAGAAATTAAACTGACACCACATACGATTAAATGCACGTGAGCAGGAGGGTATGAAAAGATAATACACTATATGCAACTTGTTACATGTTTGTAAATATTACTTTGAGTACTGAAACAACAATCAGAAACAAATGATAACATAAATGCAAAGGCTGCAAACCAAGATTCAATGCATTGTCATTGAAGAAAAAGAAAACTCACAACACAAAGATGACCACTAAATCAACATACATCTATTTTCACAACCAGAAATCACAACTAACATAGGGATACACCTCCCACAACCGCATAACTACAACAATGGGCATTTTTGTCAATTATCTTACAGCATCACCCCGGTACTTCTCCTTTAAATACAAATCATTAGCCTGCTTTTCTCTTTCTTTCCAACAAATTAAGTACAATGTAATAACAAGGACTGAAACTCTGTAAGTTGATTACAGACTTGAAAACGCAATTGTGAAATCAAACAAATTCATATGGTTGGTTTAGGACTGCTCTTATAGGATTTTTAGAAGTGCTTTATGAAGAAGCACTTAACAGGTGCTTCTCCAAATATCTCTTCTATGATCCATAAGCACATTTAGTGCTTTTGGCAATTCCAAAAGTGGTCCCAAACATGCTCATAGTTACAATCCAAACCCAGACCAGACGGGAGTTTTAGCAATCAGAACCACCCACCAATCATAAACTATCAGCTCAAACATGAATAATGAAGCAACGAAAATAAAAATCCTTAATTCCTTATCCAAATCAATCAAACAAATCAAAAGCATCACCAATTTCACAGCTTTACCAAAAAATAAGAAACCCCAAAAAGCTAAAATCCCCAATTTTTCGAACTCCACCATTCCTGAGCTGGAAAACCAGCTCAACTCCAACTTTCATCGCTCGAAACACCAGAATCGAACCGAGAAAAACTTGAACAGAAACAAAAATCCGAAAGCATTCAAATCCAGCTACAATCAGAGCTCAAATTAGGTAAAGGATTAGATAAATTACCAGATAGAATTCGGAAGAAAACAAAATTCCCAAGTTGAAGTTCCGATTCAATTGATTTTGACTCGGCGGAGACGTTAGATTCTAGAAGCCTTGCTGGAGCAGCTGATTGCTCAGAGCCTTTTGAGAGAGAAAGGGGGACGAGAGAGAGATGAAGAAGCAGCCTTTCTAGGGTAACTGACTCAGCAGCAGCTACCGAGAAGAAAGGAAAAGGTAAAGGCAGCCGAGAGGGTATATATAGAACTCGTATACCGACATACATACATACATACACATCATTTGTACGTATATACTAATTGTGATGGTAATCGAGAAAATTTTCGTCGAATATTACTGTCACACAGTCCTATAGTGCTACAACTCATTTAAAATTAAATTATTTTAAGAAATATACTATATTATAAACATCTTCTTTGTTCGTTATAACACACGATAACACATTATTTTGTTTTAAAATAGAATAATTTTAACATTATCAATAATAAAATTATGAGACAGTGAATAAAATAAGATTGTAGTTGACGTGGACGATTATGATTCCCTCAATTCTTTAATGTACATTTTGTTAATTTGTATGGTTATAAAAATCGGCGCCGTTTTATTGTATTTGGAGGTGGATGGTGCTTGAAAGACGGTGATGATACGGTCTTCGCTTAGTATTATACTTGGACAGATAATATTTTCAAAAGAAAAGAAAACAATTAAATAAACGTGGCATCTTTTTATTTATTTATTTATTTAATTGGCCTCAAGTTTTCAATAAATATTTGACCCCAAAATTAGAAATCGATTAAATGGCTTGGATCGATGAACATATGTTTCTAAATAAAAATCCAAATATTTATCAAATTAGCTTATTAGCAGACTGATGCGTATTTACATATATATATATATATATATGTATGTATGTATGTATGTATACAAGAATATTAATTAACCTACAACCATGTATGATTCTTGTAATAGATTGATCGTCAAATAATTGGGAGACATCGCAAATATTCGTAAATAATATTGCCGTTAATATAATACATGTTAAATGTACTTATAACGGTATTTAATAGTTAGAAAAGAGAAATTTATGACAAATTTCTTTTTAATTTTCAAGTTGTTAAAAAAATAGGTAGACGGGTAAAAAAAAAAAAAAAAAAAAAGTAAACGGGTACACGGTTATAGGTAAATGGGTATGCGGTTATGGGTATGGTTATACCCATTTATGTAAATACCCAATGGGTAAAACCGTAGGTTACCCACTCACCATAACCGTTGCCCATCCCTATTCATATCCAGTCATGTCATCTCCCATTGTTTAAGCCTATATTATTTAGGTAATTAATTGATGTAATTGTGTAAGGATACAATTAACGTCAACCAATAGGATTGTGCCTATTGTAACATAATGTTATAGGAGAGAATCTAAATTCGAGTAAAATATTTCGCAACTCTTTGTCAATGAAATATTTGCTCGACCAAAAAGAGTGGTGAAATTATTCTTTAGAACTGACACTACATCATCTTAGCAAATTTGTTTGTAATCACATCGTCTTATCTAGAGCGAATTTATTCCCTTATATGCGGCTAAATTCATACCTCTTCATTGCATTTTAGATTAGTTGAAAGTATAATATTACGTGTATTAAGAAACACTTCATCATCATTTTTTAATCCAAAAGGTATTGGGAGAAGAATAATTCAAATCGAGTGCATGAATAAATAATATTAACAACTAGGGACACATGCAACGCTAACAATCTAACACTTGAGAGACAATATAATTGTAGGAGGATTATTGACATATAAAAACTGATTCGGGGCTATCGGCTATAGGTAGGTAGGAAGCCTGACAGGGCCAGCAAGGTTTTGTGCAGTTTCAGCTTGTTTTCTGAGGGCCACAGACAGACAGCAAGGAAAAACTAAGGTCATGGACCTTCAAATGCACATGCTGCCCTTTGCCTAGAACAAATTATGCCACATTCCCAGACACAGTTCACGGGAAATCATTTCCGCACTCCCTCTTTATCCCATTGCATTCTCCTCTTATTTCTAGCCGAATGATTGAATAATTTGACAGTCAATCAAGGGACATAAACATAATATCCTTCTCAAATGGCTTAGTTTCCATATAGTAATCACAGTTTTGCATCAAAATTCACATCTAAAGTGGAATATTCATTCATGGGAAAGGAAAATATAAGAGGTTGTTCTATACAGTATATATTCTATAGGAAAGTCCACAATCAAGGTCTTGATGAACAATTTTCAGGACCATCCAGCTACCGAGGACCGAAATTTTCACAAACTTCAGCCTCTGTCTATATACGCTACCTATTGGCCCTATCACATCCCGGTGCTTGCCAAAACGACACCCAGCATGGCCAAACCCTACTGCAGGATTTTCATTAGACGGCGCACATGATAGTGGACGGCAACTTAGCCATGTCTCAGCATGTGCGCTTCCTCCTCCTGATGATCCAGAAATATTTACACGAGTGTGTATGTGAGCTTCAATACTTGTCACTTGATGTTCATGGAAGCTGACATGGCGCGTAGCTCCTTCGCAATTTCTAAGAAAGGTGGCCTAGATTTGGGATCAAATGACCAGCACCTCTGCATTAATGATCTCCACGATGGATCGCACCAGCTTGGGATTTCAGGTCGGAGACTGCCTTTCATTATACCGGCTGAAACATCATAATAAAATGCTTTAAGCAAGTTCTGATCACCCATAAGAAAGCAATTCAGTTGTCAAACTTCTATTTTTTGCTAAGATTAACTTAATGAATACCTATTATTTCCTCCGAGCGCAGGTCTCCATAAGGTTCCTCCCCAGTCAAGATGCCAAATGAGTAGACATCAACCTGCGAAGTCATTTAAAAACAGTAATGTAAGCGACAAAAAGATGTGAAAACTAGAAACATTTGATCATTTAATAATGCTCTTAACCTTTTCTGTCACCAAGTTGTTCTTGCCGCTCAAAAGTTCAGGAGCCATCCATGGTACGGTACCTCGTACTCCACCAGAAACAAGTGTCCTCTGCTTGATCTTTGATAAGCCCAGATCACCAATCTGAATGCATTAAGTTGAAATTTCAAATTAAAAAGTGGAAAAAAAATATTCATAACAAGAATAAAGGTAGAAGAAATTCTAATAAAAACCACAGGATTTTTTTCCCAGGTTGCATACCTTGCACACTGGACGCTGAGGGTCCCTCATATTCAAAAGAAAGTTATGCGATTTCAGATCAAAATGGACAATGTTCTTCTCATGAAGATACTGCAAACCAAAAGCTGCATCCATTGCTATAATCAGCCTCTTTCGACGATCAATAGTCCTGTCAATCAGAAATGCAAAGTTCAGAAAATGATTCTCCTGCATTACTACCTATCCATCACAGGGTCTACGAGTTAATACTGAAAATAGGGAAACAGTCACAGCACTCCAACTTTCAAATCCTTGTATTACCCTGTAAAACTATCTTACCAATCTTTCTTTCGCAAAACTTGTTTTAAGGAGCCATTCACCATGTACTCTGTCATCGTTGCCAAATCCGTCACTGGTCCATCTGACACTACACCATAGAATGCTACAATATTTGGGTGGTGAAGCTGACCTAGTATGTCAGCTTCCTTCCAAAAATCAGCATGCTGAAGAGAAGTAAACACAAAGAGTTAACAGATAGCATGTAGGTATAGCTGCACCAACTATAGTTCAGATAACAAGCCAGAGATGTCCTCTCTCCTCACTTTCTTTCTTTCTACTCCACGCAAGCATAAAAACCAGATAACTCTTTATTCGTGAAAAGTGATTTACATAATATTTATGCCGAACAGTGGGAATGAAACAATTACCAATCGCTCTTGCTTCACTGTGTCTTCAGTAAAGCAACTTGGCTTAATCTTCTTTATAGCAACATCAGACCCCTTCCATTTTCCATAGTAAACGGTTCCATATGTTCCTGAACCGAGTTCTTTCATGAACTCAAGGTCAGAATATTTTATAGTCTGCATAACAAGGTGAAAACAAACATTCAAACCTACATCCATTCACTCTTCGCATGCTTATAAAGCAGAAAATGCAACGTTCAAAAGTTACCTGAAGCTCTCGAGTGGCTAGATGAGAATAAAACGCAGCAAGGTCACTGGAGGTTCCACCAATCACTTTATTGTTGGCCTAAGAAAACAAAATCATAAATTGAAGCTGAGTAAAGTATACTTTAAATGGTAAAGCTACTAGAAACCTATAATAAATGTGTGTTTTTTTCCCTTCTCATTTCTTATATTGTGGGAGTAATAAAAGGAGATAAAAGTTTTCAAGTAACTACCTTTTCATCAAAGGTTATAATAGATGAAGGATCCTGTCGAAGCTCCTCATCATGCACATTACCTTTCTCTGTCTTAGCTGAATTCTGGGAGGTAGGGTTATGTGCAACTCTGTTCGATTTATCAACACAATGAACTGGGGTTAATTGTCCCTTCATCCATGAGATCTATAGGCTTTGATTGATGTTTTAGCAAGACATCAGAACACACAACACTGATGGCATGAGAAGAGAGTTGCAGAGCTTCCACTTCTTTGGATGATGACAGTGAAAGGTTATGCAAAGAAACACTCAATGAAGCTGGGACTCTGCTACATGAGACCTGTATGTCATTAATGCTGTTTTTGAAATTGTGTAAAGCGTCGATGACTGCTTCCCCATTAGCCAATTTGTTATCACCATCCAATCTAATTTCAATACTACATCCCACATCATTTAGAAAGTCAGAGGTGTTAGCAACCTCATAAGAGTCCAACAGGCGCATCTCCTTCTGAAACTCACAGTTTCCGGACATTCCATGAAAATTTTCATGTGAAGTTTGATATGGACCATCACACTTCCCAAAATCAGAACCAGTTAAGAGATCTTCCAGAATGTCCATTGTCTTCACAGATGAAGATGAACTCTCAATGGCATTAGAACTCATGAGAGATTGATTTCCCACGCCAGTAAATGCACCACAAAAACCTGAATAGGATTTGCTCGGATTATAATTCCTTTGCTGTGAAACTGCAGGGCCACTCCGTTTACTACGTTTCTCATTACCATATAGCACATCGATCAAGTAGTTGTCTTTCATTGAACAAGAATCCGTCATCCTCACCCTTTCTTCCACTGCATGCTCAGGAAAACCAGAACATTGCCTCCATATACTCGGATGATATACTCTCAGAGACTGCCCTTGCTTTGCAATGTTCAAATTCGGCCTAAGTCCGGGGTAGCATTTCCAAGCTGAAATCCCCTGCTTCGTTCGTCTGATCCCCATCTCAGTCATGTTGCTCCAATGATGATTCCGAACATGGTACTGATAACACCGCTGATTTCTAGCATCATTGACACCAAATCTATGGTTACGAATCCCGCTCATTAAGCCTCCCCACACCATATCACCACTATAAGAAGACTTCACAGGATACGCAGTAGTTCCAGCCAAAGAATCAGCACCAGAATTACAGCTCAATCCGTTCTTCACCAAATCACAATTGGCCTCCAAAGGCATAACGTTTTCTCTGTTCACATAACTAATCCCAGCCATTGCATTGTTTCCAAAATCCTGCTTAACATCACCACAACAACCATTACAACCCGGTAATGGTTTCGCAGGCAGCGCAGTTGCCACCTCCTGACTCGACCTCCCAACCCCATTACACAAAATCCGACCCGACCATGCCGGACAGCACTGCCCAAAACTCTTACCTACCACCCTCAAATTCCCATCTCTGGGATTCAGCGGATTAGCCCGAGACACCAAAAAACTCCCTACATTATCAAAACAATTACTCCCTAATCTGTCATCCAACAAGTCTCTGCCCTGATCAAAAGATTCACACTTTTGGGATTCACCCAAAAACCCTATTTCCACATCGTTCTCACTAGTACCAAAACGACGGCGAAAAGCCGATTGCTTTGCAAGCAATTGCTGTTTCAACACCATTTTTCTCAGCGATTCATCGCCGGACCGTACGCCTCCAAAGTTCTTCACCGCCGCCTTCTTCTCCACCTGAGCTCCGCCGCTCAAATGGCGGCGGTGGGTCCCTACATGTTCGCTCTCTGACTCAAACCCATCACTAAAGTTCACACCTTTCACGCAATTCACATAACCATTGACATTATCACTGCCATTTCTACAACAAACAAAAACCCAGAGCCTTGGTGACTTACCGTACAGCTCGAGCTTGTCGTACTCTTCGATCATGCACCGAACGTCGTCATCTGACGCGATGAGGGCGAGAGGGGCGGCGGAATCGGAGCCGGAGCCGGAACACGGGAGCTGGAACTTGAGAGTGAATGTGGAGTTAATGCTGGGGCAAAGATCCAAAATATTTGATCGGAGCTTCGAGAGCCCGATGTTACGGTCCACGGACACAATTCTGGCCTCGCCGCCGACGTAGCGTAGCTTCCCGGACGGCGGGCGGGAGCGGAATGCGCCGTTGAAGCAGCAGACGAGCTTCAGCTTCTTGGGCTGGTGGCAAGTGGGCCTTCTGCGACGGGAGAGAGGTGGCTCATTCATGGTTGTCATAGAGAGAGAGAGAGAGAGAGTGGTCGTTTGGGTGCGTTGAGAAACAGTGTGCGTGATGAGAGTGTTTATACTATATGGGAGTGTAGCGGGAGAATGTCAACTCTTTGCCCCAAGAGTTTCTCAAAATTTCCAGGTTGCCACTCTGTTTCCGAATGAATTTTTGTTGCTATTTATTCGTTTCCTGTTTCGATGTACATATCATTTTAGTTTTTTTTTTTTTTTTTTCCAAATGTGATCAACATAGTTAGTTCGTAAATAAAACCTAATTAATTAATAAAAAAACAAACCTAGATTTTTTTAGGAAACTGTTATTGGTACTCTAAAAATTTCATTATACACTCTACACAAGTGTATTTTTTTTTTCTAAATATAAAAAATTTGAAGTGCCAATAACAATTTTTTTTTTTGTATAATAAAATTGTCTTTTGATAGTTAAAGAAATTGTGTGGAAATTAAGTGATTCTCTCACATTTTTTTTTCTCTTTTCTTTCGCCCTTTTTGATTGATGAAAATTGAAAGGTAATATGATATAACTTGTAAATGGCTGGAAATAAATAATAATTATTGTATAACTTTAAGAAGAACTAGGAAGATAAGGGTACCTTTTTTAGGTTAAAATCTACCTAATATGATTCTTGTGAGATAAGAATGTTCCAATCATAAAACAATAATGTTATTCTTACCATATTTTTATAGCACATTCATATACTATCTCCTTATGTGGCATATAATATAGACAGTCCACATTATTTAAATTAATCAGAATTTAAATTAAATTAAAAATCATTTAATAAACCAATAATTAAAAAAATTGATGGAATTAAATGGTGATTGTGGCATACAAGGAGTCTTCTCCTTCCTTCTCCTGTTCAATCCTACTTCTTCTCCCAGTTTCTTCTTCCTCGCCACTTCTTTCACACCATTTTTTTCACCCTAGTTTTTTCACGTTAGTGTGAACTACCATAATCTCAACTAATTCTCATACGGCAAAGATTCATTGACGTCGACAATTACAATCAGATGTCAGTGCAATTTTCACCAATTCGCTACAAATCTAATCCCAATAGACATGAGATTTCTTCTTAGCCCTCAAAGTGTCGAGCTTTTTGTCTAACAATACATGTTTAATACTAATCAAGTATTGTGTAATTCATTTAACAAAAAGATGGTTTTGTCGTGTATATTTAATTTACTTCCGTGTATATTTAAGTTTGAGTTTAATACATATTCGGTTGTCATTTTGTAGTTAAAATTTCATTGTTTATATTTTGTAGGTGCATGTGTTGCTATTTTGCTTTGATTGATTGTGAAGGATAGAAAGTATATATGCAGGTTGAGATGAATCATGTAAACACGCAGAAATACGAAGTTATGTTCTTGAATGTAATAGTTTGAGAGTCGAGTTTTCTTTTTCGTTTAACATGTTTCTTTTAAAGAGCAAAATTTATATGTTTATCTTAGTTATAGAAAATTCAAGAAAGATTGAATACACACACACACACTGAACGCATATTTCATTAAATACACATTCATCACTTTTTCGTTGACAAACAAAAAAATGCATCACTTTCTGTCATAAATTGAACGTATTAATAAGTTAAACTCATACTTCGAGTTGTTTCATGCCATAAATCAACTCGAACGCATATGAATAATCAAAAAAAAGAAAAAACCAAATCCAATATAGTATGGTATCCTGTGGGATCCTTAACCGTCCAAATTTATATGAGAAACAAACAAATCAACCAACGATGCTTCACAATTGAATGAGTCCATTTTTGAACCAAGAGGTGATTACGGTTGATTGGAGGAGGAAACAATCTTAATTGACGAGTGGCATTTTTGTTAATAAGAAGCCATGCAAGGGTATTATTCCATTGAGCGGAAGGATTCTCGTAGGATGATGACTTTCCATTTGGCCTGTTGGCGGTTATATTCCAACGAGATAGCCTCCTCTTTTCTTTGTCTTCTAGTCCAAGTAGGAAAACCTTCGGAAGATATAATTTAACTAAATTTAATGAGTCTGTGCTACATTGCACCGAGTGCACACGTTTGGAAATTATTGGAACATCAATACTTCTTCAAGTCTTAGGAATTTGCATAGACGAATAAAAGTAGGAAAATAAATATCATAAGGAATTTGCATAGATGAATAAATTTAGAAAGATTATATTCACACAATCTAATGTACTTTTTTAATATTTTCTACACACCACTCAATACTTTTTCAAGTCTTAGGAATTTGCATAGACGAATAAAAATAGGAAAATAAATATCATAAGGAATTTGCATAGACGAATAATTTTAGAGAGATTATATTCACACACTTTTTTAATTTTTTAATATTTTCTACACATCATTAACACTTAATAAAAAAATATTAAAAAATTAAAAAGATGTGAAAGAAATAATTTGGAATGTGTGAATATAATCTCTCTAATTTAAATAGAGATTATTTGGTTTCTAACGTAAACGTCGTAGCTTTTCAAAACTTGATTAAAAATTTTAAAATATGTAAAAATGAAGCTTGAGAAGTAGGGAAGAGGCATAAATCATGAACAAACGGGTTGTGCTTTATGAAAAACAAAAAGAAGCATATACATATTGCAACCCAGTACATTTTCTTCGAATCATAATCCTAATCCTAATCGTATTTTTTATTTATTTAGATTCTCAAACGTGGAAGATTGAATATCGACACCGGCGCAAGTTAGCATCTGAGCCGAGGTGTGCGTGGGCCACTGATGATTCATTCCGATGACAAGGAGGGAACTAAGGAGAGACTGCCACGTCGAGGAGGGTGCTGGTAGGTGGGAAGAGATCTTCTTCGCATCTCTTCGTTAAAAGTTCGATGATCAAATGATCCGGGTTCTTGAAATTTAATCTAACGGTAAAAAATTATTATAATTTTCAGGATCCGAATTTTAAGCATCGTTGGATCAAATTTCAAAAGTTAAAAGCTGGGTTTTTGGTCTGTTTACCCGTTTGGATTCGGCGGCGAACCGGAGGGCTCCGATTGTGGCAGTGGAAGCCAGGTTGAGCGTGAAGAATCCGCCGAGGAGTACTGCGGCGGCTGTGCCAAGGGTGCGGAGTTGCTTCGGAAACATGGGTGGTGGAGTTTCACTCGGGCGATTTGTCGAACAGTTGAAGGGCGTGGAGTCAACTCTGTGAGGCTTAAGGCTAAGGCTCCAGGTGAAATGAGCCGCACCAGAAGGATTTTGTTTTGCTATGGAATGATTCTAACACCGACCCGGCCCACGGAGGGAAGTCCGTTAAATTTGGAATGTTAATGGTGATGGGGACCTCATTACCCTCTTTTGTTTGGATTTCCGTTATTATTTTTGAGCTAATTACAAATAAACTCCAAGTTTGAGCCCTTTTAAAGAGTATTAAAAAGGCCACGTTCTTTTATTTTTTTAACATTACTAACCAAAAGTATTAAATTATTAACAATTTAAACTACTTTAGGATAATTATCTCAATCTTTGTAAGTCATATAAAAAATCAGATACAAAAGTAACTTGAATTATTAAAATATTAACGCTTTAGTAGTAGTGGCAGAAAAGTTAAAAAGTTGTGCTTCTTTGAAAGTGATCGGAAAAAAATGTAGTTTGGAATTAGCTCATTCTTTTTAGTATTTCACATTATTCCCTCTCTTAGACTAATGACGTAAGAGGCTTTTGAGTGAAATCTCGAACACACGTCTTTCAACAAAATAAAATTTAGGTGACATTGAACGAATTGATCATACGTCATAATGCGAAGATTGTTTGGTATGTGTTATCCATTAATCTCTTATACTTAGATCTATGTTAGGTAGGGACAAAGTATAAACAAGATGCAACCTTGAAACATTTGACTTTTTTTAGAATAAATAATAACGATGATATCAATGCTTAAGATTCATGTTCATAACCTTGGGCAACAAGCATTGAACACTTTCTTGGATTTTGGTTAGGACTAAAGGTCAAAAACACAAAGTTAAATTGCTTGGGCTGTAATCCTGTCATGTTTCTAAGTCCCCAAACATAAGTTTCCAACATAATTTCACTTCCCAGAAGCCGTACTCCAAAGAATTGCTACCACTCTACCATTTGACTCTCTCTCTCTCTCTCTCTCTCTCTCGTCAGGAAATGTTACCACCTTGTATAAAAATCCTCGTCACAACATAGTCTCTCATCATACAGTTGTTGTCTCTCTTTAATTTGTATAACATGAAAATATGGAGACCATTTCATGTTGTGTTCTGTACTTTCGCCTGCGTCTTTGTGTGTTTATCTCGTGCATCATCAGACACCCTCAGGCATAGACAATACTTGTACAGCAATCAAACCCTGGTTTCTGCCGGCGGAGTGTTTGAGCTAGACTTTTTCAGCTCCCCCTCTGCGCCGAACAGGTACTTGGGAATCTGGTTCAAGAATGACAAGAACCAAAGCCAGTTTGGGTTGCAAACAGTAACAGCCCCCTTATGGATTCCGATGGAATGGTGGGTTCCTCGGGAGTACTTCTCACCATCCGGAATGATGGGAACATGGTGATCATTGACAGAAGAAACATTTCATATATTGTGAATTACGAAGCACTTGCGTCAGGGAATAACACAACTGCAACGCTTCTTGACTTGGGAAATCTTGTTCTGGTGGAAGGAGGAGACACGTTTTGGATGAGTTTCAATTACCCGACAGATACTTTTCTTCCTGGAATGACGTTGGGGTTGTTCAACATAAACACCGAGCAGTTGAGGAAACAGTTTCTTGTGTCCTGGTCAAGCACTTCTGTCCCTGCTCATGGTACTTATGCTCTAGGCATTGATCCAGTGAACAACACTCAGTTCAACGTCTGGCGCAGTGATGGAGCTTACCAACAGATTGGACTTTTGGGATGGCCATGAGTTTAATTTCTTCTACAAAAGCGCGTCAGATAATCTCAACGTGAGTTCTAGTTGGAAAACTAATGAGATTATGTTACTTTTAGCAATAAAAATAGTAGCATGCCTTCACGCTTCGTGTTATCCTCGGATGGGCTGATTTATGAGTTCATGATGATAGGAAATGAGATTAAGAATGTGGATTATTCACGTTGTGCTGACACAATGGCAAGCAGTTCTACTCACTGTTTGGTGAGGCGATCATCAGCGTGCTCAAAAAGAGAGAGTTTCTCAAATGTCAAAGGAATGCTGCCGAGTTATTTGTTTCCAAGTTGGCCAATTCGGATAGATCCTTATGACTGCGAGATCATATGCAGGAACAATTGCTCATGTGTTGCATATACATATGATTCTTTGCCAGATGATGGAACTATATGTCAACTTTATTATGGAAATAATGTACCTCATAGTTGGGCTGTACCTTCGTCAGGTGTCAAATGTGATGCTGTACCTGGTCGTTTAAATCAGATCTCATCTTCAAAAACTGGTCGGTACAGGTAACAGCACCATTTATGTGCGTGGTAACGCCTCTAAATCTGGTAAGCTTTTACAATTACTCAACATTTGATAATTAGAAGAAGAATCAAGAGCGGAACTGTGTATCTTTTATTATTCAAATGCCTTCTAAAGTTTTTTAGATGGTAAGATTTGAACAGCCTCCCGTTCTCTCCCTAAAATCTGGTAGAGAATATTTTCATTTTCTTTCCTCAGATGGGAAGCTGTTGACTTTCACATTTATGGTGATTCCCTTGGTGTTCTTCTTGTTGACCTTATTGCTATGGATAAAGTGCAACTCTTTAGGTATGTTAACTGCGCTATCGATTGCCCAACACAGTAAATTTTGCCAAATTAATATGTTGAGTAGACTGACTTCTTTGTACCAACAACAGGAATTTATGGATTCCGTAATGGCACGAGAGATAGTATGAGGCTATTATTGTCGCAGTTGAGCTCCGATGATAATGCTAGCTTTCCAAATCTTACAGAACTTGGAAGGCAGAAGGATCATGAGTTGCCACTGCTTAGCTATTCATTCATAGTGGCATCCACTAATAATTTCTCTCTTCCAAATAAGCTCGGACAAGGTGGTTTCGGGCCTGTTTATAACGTTTGTGTTGCAATTGTACTGCTTTTTTAACAATAAGGCATATGGTGTGACGGGTTTTGTCGATTTCTCTTTTGTTAAGTTATATTTAATTGGAAGTTTATATGAAAGAAAAACCTTTATCTGCTGTTTGTTGCAGGGCAAATTACAACAACATGACATTGCAGTCCTGGACAAGGACCCGTGGAGTTCAAGAACGAGGTGCAGTTAATCTCTAAGCTCCAGCACAGAAACCTTGTGAAGCTTTTGGGTTTTTGCATTCACCGAGAAGAAAAGATACTAACAGACGAGTACATGCCCAATAAAAGCTTGGATTCCTTCATTTTCGATCTGTAAATTCATCTATGCCCCTTCCCTATTCTGCTATTGGTTCTCACTTTAGTTCTCTCTTGCTGTGGAATTGCAATTCTTGCAGATAAAACAAAGACAAGGTTATTGAATTGGGGACAGCGCATACACATAATCGAAGGGATTGCTCAAGGGCTTCTTTATCTTCATAAGTACTCTAGATTAAGAATTATTCATCGCGATCTGAAAATTAGCCACATCTTATTGGATGCTTACATGAACCCCAAGATATCAGACTTTAACTTGGCTGGAATTTTATCCGGGAATGAATGTCGAGCCAAAACAAATCGGGTTGTTGGAACATAGTAAGTAACTTCATGCCTGCATTTGTGTATTTATAACACATGTTTGTTATGTGCTGCATTACTTGTCATAAAACTTAAATGACTCATTTTCTCTTTTCACTGAAACCAGTGGTTATATGTCTCCCAAGTATCTGATGCACGGCCTTTTCTCAACTAAATCCGATGTGTTCAGCTTCGGAGTCATTGTGTTGGAGATTGTAAGCGGCTGGAAGAACGCAAAATTTTATGAGTCAGATCATTCTCTGAACCTACTATGACATGTAAGTGGCAACTTGCCTTGGTTCTGACTCAAAATTCTTGTAAGTTATACCGCTGTTCTGTATTATCTAGGTTTAAAATGTGAAAATTGTTGCAGGCTTGGAATTTATGAAAATCTGGGCGAGCAGCGGAGTTGATGGATCCAACACTGGCTGATTCAAGTTCAATGGAAAGACTTGTTCCCTGCATTCAGGTGGGTCTGTTATGTGTCCAAGACAGTGCAGAAGATAGGCCAACCATGTCGGATGTTGTTTCAATGTTGAGCAATGAAGGGGCAACTTTACCTACCCCTAAGCAGCCTACATATTCGAATTTAACGACAGAGGTTGATAAACCAATAAATCAATTGCCTTCTATAAATCTATTAACATTTTCGGAAGTAGAAGCACGATAACAGCTTCGAAAGAGAAGGGTAAATCGTTGCTTGTAAACCAAGTATATATGCAGCTGTATAGTTACATGTTCTTGTTCCAACTGTCAATATGAAGCCACCTGAGGTGGTCATTTTCTACTTTTTACTTTCTTCTGGGTTTTATCCTCTACCAAAATGTACTTATTTGTTTTTTCTTTTCTCCATACACATATAAAGAGTAAGCAACAATTTTTCAATAAATTTAGCAGCACCCATTGTTTATATATTCAAATTCCAATTTATACTGTTCATTTTTGAACAGGGTGTCCGCTATTTATACAACAACGGATTGTTAATATGGTGTTGATAAATCATCGATACCATGTAAATAACAAGACGTACGACTTTTTATCGATACAAAATATGTCCTACATAGAGCAAAATAGACGTCCATCACAAAGAATTTCTTGTCATGTATAATCAAATTAACAAGTATTTCAACCAACTCATAGCATAACAACAGAATAAATGTAAAAAACATAAGAAGATTAAAGGTAGTTCCGCAGCATATGTATCCATATCGTTCTGGAATTTTTTATCCAATTGCACTGAAATTTATGCTTCTCAACAAATCAACTTTTCTTAAGAAACCCTAGGGTTCATAAACTTCTCCTATATTCATATCATTATTGTGTAAAATCTCGTTGTGGAGTTGTCAGGTTGGGCATGTTTTGCTCAGTCTGTGATCCCTCTACATTATTCAAGGAGTGGAAGTTCACAGTTTAGACAATGACATTGCTGCATGTATCAACCGACTACTCACATTTTCGACCCAAAAGATATGTATCGCTTTTGAGAAAATTTTGTCGTTTCTAATCTATAGACGTACTAATCTCGAATTATAATAAAAGACTATTATCTTTTTCTTTAGCATTAATTTTGTATTTGGGGGTTGGATCAATAAATGAAATGAAATCTCTTCAAACATGATCATTTGAAATGATCACTGAGATTTTGTCCATGATGATATGAAAAAAACCAAACTTTCATGCAATACAAAACACATATAACTAAATTATTTATCAGAAAAATTAATGTCCTCTCTGATACTGTCTTACCAACCTGATTTTGTTGTTTTTGTTTTAATCTCAAAGAAAAGAAAATAATGTTGTTGAAAGCTTTGATTGGTGAGGGGAGAAGAATGTATGGGGCAAGTGATGGAGCATTGAGTCTTCCTATATATATGCTTCTCTGTAACACTGCACTTCTTGCTACGTATGCTGCCTGAAATTGGAACAAGAACACTGCTACCGATAAGATCCTGTGGAGAAAAAGTGCAGAACTGAAAGAAAAAGGCAGAAAAAGGGGATAAAAAATTAGTATTTAAAAAAAATATATGAATTCGGCAGAGGGAAAATTTTCAGAGTTTGGAAAATTCCAAAATAATTCCATTAAAATTGGCAGAGGGGACAGGATTTGGTTCCATCCTCCTAAATACATTTCATCTATCAAATTCAAACCCATGTCTTCAATTTTTTTTCCCTCGTGAATAATATTTGTTGCTTTTTTCATTAAAATCTCTCTGGATTTGTGAACAAAAACAATGAAAAAAAAAAGGATCTCAAGCCAACAACTTTGCGAGGTTTAGTGAGAACATTTGTTGTATGCAGCCTTACCTTTACTTTGCAAATAAACTATTTCCACAACTCAAATAAGTCACAAAGGAGCAAGTTTTTTGTTGCTTCAAGGCTCGCTCTCTGTGAACAAAAGCTATAGTTCAAATTAATTGTGCTTTAGGGTCCCACAAGATCAAACACCATGGGATGGGGTAAGTATTAACAAGAAAGTCCAGAATCACACTGATTGGGTGATCTTTGTTGTCCGATCTAAAGCTAAAAGGTGGGACTATGATGTCTTTCAATGGTGGGATTCATGAAAACAAAGATTATATATTAAAGGGGATTTTGAACTAACTTACAAATGAGAATACACACAAGCCTATCAGCAAGCATAACCCTAGTTACCCAACCACTAAGGATTAACTAATATTTTGTGTAAAAAAGTATATTGAAGTACTTCTTACATGATATTGACAACTATGTAATCGAAGTATAGATTGTCTCGGTAACATGAACAACATGCCGATAGTCTATAACGTCTTCATATACTTATCGATATTAGATAGTCAGACATGTCACGTGATCAGATGATCTGACCTAAAATTCTTTACACAAATTACTAAATACAAACCCTAAACTTTTGAATACTAGAAGGCATGTTATGATCAATCATGCATATTCGTTAATCTAAACACCTTCACTCTGTATGTCTCACAAACATAAATAACCAAAATCAACCTAGGCTCCTAAAAGTGGTATTTGGGTTGCACTTGTATTTTCATAAATGCCTGTGGACCAACCCAAAACAGGTCCCCTACAGGCTACATGGGTTCACATGCATGACAACAATATCATAAACATACTAGGGCAGAAGATGTGAAGTGTCACCAGCCAGGTAACCCTAGTATGAGATGGAATTAAATACAGAGGCACGGGTATTTGGTGCACCCACCACATTTCCACTGAGCAGTGGCCTGTCTACTAATTTACCAAAAGCTCCCTAACTTTTCAAACTAACTACTGTTTTACTGAGCCGAATATCCATTTTTAAGGTGGGCAATTTGACTGTTTGATAGAAGTTGACCGGCTGATAACATACTTAACAGTGGTAAAACACTAGCAGTATGACATGTAGTTGAGGATAGGCGTGGGTCGAGAACTTTTATTATTTTTCTTGAAAAACGGTCGAAGCTTTTAAGGGGAAAAGAAAGGAGCGACGCTTTTTGACCGCCTGCTTTGGAAAGGCACATTTGTTGAGGCAAAATAACAAAAAGGCCACCCGCTTAACAAATACAAATAGAAAAATACTTGGCTTCGAAAACCCTTGTTGTAGCCAAATTAAATAAGGTAGTATTCCGTCACTTAGTATTACGGTCTGATAGTATTTTTTTTTCGCTTAGAAGTGAGAGTTCTTAAGTTCGAATCTCGTGGATAACAAATTCGATACCAAATTAGGCTGCCTATTGTGTGGCTTAACTAAACTCCTCATTCTCTTAGTATAAAAATATCGATGTACTTAAAAAAAAAAAATTTAAATAGTATTCTTAAAAAAGCCATAATTCAAGTTCAAATTTACCATACCTAGTCAATTATCATTCAAATAAAATTCATTTAATTCGTACTTAAGGCTTGTTTTTTTTTTTTTTTTTTTTGGGGTGAAATTTGGCTTGTTTGGGACTCGCTCTAAAAGAGCTAAACATGTTTGATTAAAAACTTTAAAGTATTTATGGGTCGTAAAAGCATTATTTAAGATAATTAAATGTTGCATCCATAAAATTAGAAGAAATACTTATGCTCGTAAGTGCTTATGTTAAGAGTGCATATAGGCATAAGCATTTTATAGGAATTAACTTGGCTCCTCAAAGAATGAGGAGTTCTTCTTTAATTCACTACGTGACCGATTTAAGAAATTTTTATGCTTATGATTTGGATCGTTTATATTGTAAAGCACTTTGTAAAAACCATCTATACAAACAATCAATAAAAACAACTTCAAGGGAACTCTTTACATTTCTAATGGTAGTTGTAGGTGTCAAATTATGATTTGAGAAAGAAAAAAAGGATAAGAGCCCATGCAGACATACAGGTAATGTACTGCAAACTGCAGATAGACAGAAGCAAATGACGTACACACACAACTAGTTAGATTCTAATTACAAATTACAAGCCCTTTGTTTGGCTGGTTTTATAATTTTAATATGACGAAACATGCGTCAACCATTTGTTTTGGAAGTCACTTTTGAAAACAAAGCATAGTGGTTGTGTCAGCCGAGATGAGCATGCCCACCACAACATCAATCTAAAAGCTCTTTATTTGCTGCAGCCTGCAGTCTTCCGTTAGGCAGATTAGGTTTGGTTGGTTGCGATCCGCTATAAGAAATTAAAACCCTAGAAATAGAAATGGTGAGCCAGATTAAATTTCCATGGACTTGCACTATGCATTTCCAAATGTCGATTGAATAATTTAATTTGATAACAAAATAGCCATCCTCTTGATCCCCTTTGTATGCATCTTTTGGGAGAGCCCCACATGATTCATCAAAAAGTGAAAACAATGGCATTGTTGTGAAATTTTTTGGAAACATGGGCAACTATATATAAAGATGACTTTCATTAGCTACCTAGAACATTGACTCGGCACTTAAGGTCCTCTCCAACCGAATGGTCCAAAGAGCCAGAGAGCCGAAAAATGCTTGAAAACTGTCCCCAACTGAGGGTTAGGCTAGAGGGCTCGTGGGTCCCACGGAATCTGAAAGGGCCAAAGGGTTGGCCCAATCCAGCCAGCCAGCCAGCCTAGGGCTGGCCAGAAATGTGAGCATTCCTATCGGATACAACCGACAGGTAACCGACAGGAATATGTATATTCCTATCGGTTATATCTGACAGGAATGTTAGGTCAAATTTTCAAATGCAACGGCTAGCTGACGTCAGCTAGCCGTTATTTTTTAATATTTTTTTTTTACAGTTTTATTTATTTATTTTATTTACAAATTTGTTTTCCTATAACTTCTATTTTTAAATTCTATTTTTTTTCTATAACTTCCTATAACTTCTATTTTACAAAATTTATTTCATATTTTTTTTTAAATTCTATTTTTTTTCTTATAAATTCTATTTTACAAAATTTGTTTCATATTTTTTGTAAATTCTATTTTTTTCCTATAACTTCCTAAGCCATTATGCAACATTAAATTAAATTAAGTAACATGAAACAACATTAAATAACATTAACCAACATAAAAATTATACAACTTAAAAAAAACATTTAACAACATGAAACTTAAACAACATTTTTAAAAACATTTAACAACATCAAACTTAAACGCCGACTCCATGCTGACGTCACTTAGCCATTGGATTTGAATTTAAGTTGTAGTTTTTAAATAATAAATTATGTTTGGCCCTATGGCCCCTTAGCCCTTAGTTGGAGACGGTTTTTTGTGACAAGGCTAAAAGAAGCCCTATGGCCCTTTGGCCCTCAGTTGGAGATAGAGGCAAATATGATCATGTACTATTCATTAAAATATTAATTTCTTGGAGGGCCAGAGGGCTAAAACGAGCCATCTGGCCAGTCTTCGGTTGGAGATGGCCTAAGTTAAAAACTTGAGTAGGGACGTCCAGACTACATTATTCATTGGATTAACTCTTACAAAAACAAGAACACTCTAAATATTATGATTTAACTTGATTTTATGATTGGTCACACTTAATGTGGGAATTGTCTGAATAAAACAATTATCAAGAAGTTTCTCTCCTTAACTTTTAACAAAATTTGGCATGTTTTGTATTAGAATACGATCATTTGATATGTATGAGTGAATGGAGAGTGAAACATTTAAAATGAGAAATATCAATAATGTCTTTCACGCATACTTTAACACGTAAACTGATTATACTTTGTTATTATAATCCAGTAGTATCATACACTAATTTTTCTTTTATGAGCAAAGTTAGCGCTTTGTAACTTTGTTTGAACATCACATATTTTGAATACGCTAAATAACCTCATCGCCTACTAGTGCCCACAAACCATTTCGTTATAAAAGCCCTGATAAAGCACACATAACGCACTCTCTCTGCTCCTTCACAACAATGGCAGCCATAACAACCAAAGACGATTCGGACTATGACAGCAGCTGCTCATCCATAACGGTTCCGGATTCGAGCCGGAGCTGGATGAGCAACCTGAGCTTCAGCAGCCGCCGCCAGAGCTCGGTCTCCGTTTGCTCCTCCACCACTGAAGCCTCTCTGCTTTCCTCTGCTCACAAGCCCCACAAGGCCAACCAACCTGCATGGGAAGCCATGCGGCGGCTCCGCAGCTCCAAAGGCCGAGTTGGGCTCGACCATTTTCGGCTCCTCCGCCGCCTAGGAAGTGGCGACATTGGAAATGTGTACCTTTGCCAGATAAGAAACCCAGTTGTGGGTTTGCCGCAGTGCTTTTACGCGATGAAAGTGGTTGACAGAGAAGCACTTGCTATAAGAAAGAAGCTGCACAGAGCTGAGATGGAGAAGGAGATTCTGGACATGCTTGATCACCCTTTTTTGCCTACTCTCTACGCTGAGTTTGATGCTTCTCACTACTCTTGCTTGGTTATGGAGTTTTGCCCCGGCGGCGACTTGTTCGCTGCCCGTCAACGCCTCCCCGGAAAATGCTTCAGCATCTCATCTGCTAGGTAATTACTTCGTTTAATTAATCTAAGTTAGTAGAAAATATTCTCTTGTCAGATAGTCTGATTATTTTAGTCATAAATGTTCTGCTCGGTAATCAATTAATTTCATTTAATTAAACTTAGCGGGTACTTGATAATTGGATGTGTTATTTCATCAGAAAGTTTGATATATTATGTTACGTTCTGTTTTATTAGCCTTGCTTTATTTTGTGGAAGTGGAATAAAAAATTGAACTAATTACAATTTTTGGGCTGAATTAATCGCAGGTTTTACGCGGCGGAGACACTGTTAGCTCTAGAGTATCTGCACATGATGGGGATTGTTTACAGAGACTTGAAGCCTGAAAATGTACTGGTTAGAGAGGATGGACACATCATGCTCTCAGATTTTGATCTCTCCCTCAAATGCGACGTGGTTCCAAAATTGCTAAGGCGAAAATCGGAGCTAGAATCGGACCAGAAGAGCGCAAAGAGTTCATCAATGTCGTATTGTGCTGCCGCGCCCATGCAGCCTGTGCTCTCTTGCTTCTCTGCCTCCCACAAGAAAAAGAAGGGCACAGTCACAACCATAACAGAACAAGTTGGTGCTGATAATGATGTTAATCATGATTATGATGATGATTATAAAGAGCTGAACCCGGAAATGGTGGCCGAACCAATCCACGCCCGCTCCAAGTCATTCGTGGGGACCCACGAGTACTTGGCGCCTGAGGTGATCTCAGGGCAAGGCCATGGAAGCGCGGTGGACTGGTGGACATTCGGAGTGTTTTTGTATGAAATGTTGTACGGGCGGACGCCTTTCAAAGGAGAAAACAATGAGAAAACCCTAATCAACATTCTTAAGCAGCCATTAAGGTTTCCAAGAGTTGTGGTCAGCAGCAGCAAAGAGCTTGAGGAAATGGTCAGAGTTCAAGACTTGATTAGCAAGCTACTGGTGAAGAATCCCAAGAAGAGAATTGGGTGCTTAAAGGGATCTGTGGAGATCAAAAGGCATGATTTCTTTAAGGGTGTGAATTGGGCTTTGATTAGGTCAGTTAGGCCTCCTCATGTCCCTAGTAGTGATTTGCATAATAAGAATAGGAATAATCGAGTTAATTACTTGCCTAAGTTAAGCAAAAAGGAGAGGGATGAACCATTTCAGATCCCTCATCATGTTGATTATTTCTAATTTTATTGCTTAGGTTAATGTTGTACATAGGTAAAACAGAAAGCATATTTATTTTCATGCTTGACACCAAAGAAACTAAGAATTTTCCTTTGTTTTTCCTACTAATATATGAGAATCGTGATTTAGATAATGTACAACAAATTAGTCACTCTGTTTAATGTCCAGATCTTATTACTAAACTGAGAAAATACTTACACGCATAGAAGTGTACATAATTAAATTACATAGAACAATGCTATTCATACCATATTTTTGTACCACATTTTCATGCCACTTTAGGTGATATTTGATATAGACAGCCACATCATTTGAATTAATCAAAATTTTAAATTTAATTCATTATTTAATAAACTAATAATTAAGAAAAATTAGTTAATTAAATGATGATTGTGATATACGAAGAGTCTTTCTCCTTTTTTTATTTTGCAAATTTTTCAAATAATGTGACTGTCCACATCAAATACAATCGAAAATGATATAAAAATATGTTATAAATAGCATTACTCAATTGAATATCGTCACAGCCACGTCCAAATAGTTTTGAGTCTCTCTCATTCGCATAAAATACAAATAAATGAATGTGCAAGTAGAGGTGTAAAGTAGAGGATCCCATAATTGTCCCAATGTTATTTTCATGAGCAGTCTATGAAGACATGTGAGGACAATAATTACTCTTTGTCAATGATGGAAAAAATTATAATAAAAAAGAAAAATTAAATCATGTTTTTGCTTTTTTACTTTTTTACAAAATTCATCTACTTTCTGCATATGGGCACTTTCATATCCACGCATTCACATGCTGTTTTTCACCGAGAAGGAAACTAACAAAAGCATCATGCTTCCTTCCCTTCTTTTTGTTCTTCTGATATTTCTGGTCACGTAAAGTGCTGGCTTCTTTTTCCTCTTCCCCATATCCACCCAAGCACTTTTTAAGGAGGATTATCAATAAATTAACTAAAAGAATGTACGATTAGAGAGCAGTCCTAAAGCATCTACCTACCAATCAGTTGAATCCATATGATTAGCATTATTGTTGTATGGAACATTTCAATCCTTACATGTTCACCGAACAAAGTTTAGAGTATTAGTTCAATTTATGAAAAATAGTTAAGTTCAGAGTGAACAATTAAAAGGATTCTTAAGACATATCAGCCAGGATTTGGATTTAATAAACATCTAAACGGATTCCTGAGACAAATCAATTAGGAATTGGTTTTAATCTAGTCATTTATGTCCAGACAATTTTCCCAACACATAGGAAGGACATCCCTACGTTGGTTGAATGCATCACTTGTCATGTAATACTATGTAGTTAATTGGTGCAACCTGATTACTCGTACGTATATCAGTACGTAAGATGTGATTGTGCATAATATGTATAAAGATTTTGAGAGGGAAACTGCATGCCCCCTAAGTCAACGGTATGTGCATGAAGGGTCAATAGAGGGGTTGCCATTTTGTCTATACCATTGATGGAAATCCAGACTGATCAGAGGGGTTGATCGTGTAGTCTTCATCACTACTTTTTGCAGCAGCACGCGAAGGAAAGAGACAGGGCTGGCTATATGGCCTGGCTAACCTCTCTCTCTCTCTCTCTCTCTCTCTCATGGATTCCAGTATGCTTCGGCGTATCTTAAGTTGATACACTGGAATTTTATCCGCTAAAGTTTAGAGTTTAAGATATTCTTAGCATCCCGGTGTTAAAATATCCCAAAGCATATATAGTAAAACTTTTTTTCTTTTGAGCTACAAAGAATACTAGAATTTTCGCCCTCTTTCGTTCTTTCTTTAAAATTAGGTCTAAAGCCTGGTGTTCATTGTATGTAATATATGTGCATGGGCCTTGCTAGCTATCGGTTTCACCAAACAAGTGAGCGAAACAGCTAGGAATTGTAATCATGCTCTTGAACTCATATCATTTGAATGCGCTCGGCCTAATTAAACTGGGTATATATGAAAACCAAGGAAATGAGGACTGTATAGTACATATCATGGCCAAAATAACAAAATATTTGAGAACAATACTTGACTACTTAAAGATGAATAGGAACTCCTACTTAAAATTTCTCAAAATTGTTCATTGTCAATTTATAAAACTTTGTGTTTATAATCAGAACCGTTCAAATTATAAATTACCCTATAAAGATCGTCTCTACAAAAAATCAATTAAAAATAAGGTTATTTAACCATCAAACTATTTGAAAACAAATGAATGGTATTGGTAAAAGCATTACGAACCGTCTATGTATTTGCTACAATAGATTGACTAAATGCTCTTAGTTTTAATTTATTTTTTGCATAGATAATCTTTATAGTGTGATTCATAGTATGAATAGTTTTGATCATAAACACAAAGATTTGTGATTAAAACACTAAGATTTTTTAGTATGAGCTCTTATTCATCTTTAAGTAGCCAAGTATTGTTTAATATTTGGTAGACTTTATACATAATCAATGCTATGTGGTTTAGAAATTTAGAAATTTTGAGTTTCACTGTCGCGTGGCATTAATATTAATAATCCAAGCAGTGTCATACTAAAAAATTACTCTCAGTAATTGCTTGTACAAGTTATAATTAAATTCATAATTATGTGATTTGCAAAAGGAAATTAAAAATAGTTAATATATATGTAGTGTATTGCATTTTAAATTATACTAGCTAATCAAATATTCTTTGGCCAAAACATGTTTGTGGTGATTAGACAAGCCGCCTTTTCTCATGGCTTTCAGAAATGATATAAGAATTCGACCAACAGAGTGTTGCTTATCATTCTCTTTATTGACAACTACGTACAGTTTGTAGCAAAATCCTTGTTTTTCATGTATTGGTTGTTTATAATTATAGCAATAATGCTCGATTGCTTTAGCATTAAGAAAGAATTAATTAGTTACGATGCGGGACCAAATTATTTGTTAAGTGTAATCAACTACACAAAAGTTGCATAATTTCAGTTCAGGAATGTGAACGATAGTATTTTGTTTTAAATTTTTTATTATATTTTTCTTTCTTATGAAATTATTGACTGCTCTTCAGCATCATCAGATTATCAGATGCCATAATCACGAATTTATCAATTTAATCCTTCAATTTTGACAACCATAATGACAATCAGATTCGTTGTCGCCAGAAACTGGGAGTCAACAAAAGGACCTCTAAGGCTTGGTGGTCAAGGTCTTAGGTCCAAGTTTGAGGTGTAGAGTGAGGCTAGAATTGGATTCTATAACCTTAATACAAGACCACCCCTCACAGGTGCCCCAAGGTTTGAATTGACGAATGTCTCCCAATGATCTTTCACTAAGTGGAAGTAACATTCCAATCTACAAAGTACAGTGAATTAAAAAGTGTTCGATCTTTCTCTTGATTCTCTAACTTCAAAATATGATATTAAACTGTAACATTATATACCCTAAAATTATTCACGGATGAGAAGAATGAAAATTGAATGAATTGAAATGGTTGATCTGTCATCTATTCATGGAAAGCAAACCTTGTTTTGTTTACCAAAAGACAACTGAGGCAATTCTTTTGTGACATAAAAGCTTAAACGGTTATAGGTAAATAACCACGATTACTTGTCCGTCATAATCATTATCCATCCCTTTCATGTCTTAATGGTAGCAACCCATTTTACTCAACTGTTTCATAGCCTTTGGCTAAGAACCGGTTATTTGAATCTCACCCAATTCCTATGAAATATTGCAATATGCATAAGGAAATTAGTCAGGAAACTTTTCGAAAGAAAAGTCACTGCCCTTGCATATCAAATAACTTTTCACTGCAATTCACTCGGAACTGCCAATTTCCATTCAAAATAGATTAAACATTATTTTTTCCTAACATATTTTACACAGTACCATCACACATAAATTGATAGGAAAATTTTATAAACTAATTAGCCATGTTAGGCTAACATTATTACTTTGATTAGTCGAACGTACCTTGTCTTCGGTCAACACATCCCAAATTTTTTTTTTTTGGTCCGTACAAGTTTAGTCATCATCTAGTCTCATTTCGCAATCATGATACCAATATTCTAAAATTTAAATTTAGATAACATGCTAAATTTTTCATGTTCATAGGGTACTATTTTGGGGAAGACAAATACACTGAATAAACAAATACAAATGGGAGCTACCTTAGCTCGCTAGCTTTAGGTATATTTGTGAAGTGACTTGTCAGTCGACATGGCACTTTGGGCATATTACAAACAAAAATATCAATCTTAGTCGACCGAGAATTGGAACTAAGAATCAAATGAATGAAATCATCTTTTTTATCTTTTAGTTCACCTACCTTTGGTCACTTGATTAACGCTTGAAGTCTTAAAACAGAAAAGTGTTACAATTATCTCTCTTTTAATAATCGATCATTTGACGAGAAAGATATTAATGTATTTGTGATAAAGAGGTCTTCCTCGTGACGCATTTTTATTATTGTATTTGAGCATTATGTGGTCAAGGAGATAAATAATTCAATTAACACTACAAGTATTACTAAATTACTATTCTTCGACGTATGCATTTGTAAGAGAAACAGATACAAGTTGATGTACAGTAGAATCTCTCAGACTTGTGACGGTGCAAAAACAGACAACACATGAAACCAAACACCGGCGACCCACTCAACGGAAAACCATGAACTGGGAAAGAGAACCCCTATCCGGGATTTTGGATGCTATCTGCAACAGCAGATCACTTGGTGATCTCGACCCTTGCTTTTAGGACACCTGTCTCAATCTCATCAACTGCTGAGGTGCGTATGGAACGGAAGCACAAGGGCAAACCCATGGTATTGCGGCAGCTTTGTCCCAAACCAGTTGCAGTTTCCACTCCCAACTCAACAGAAAATGACTTTAATAAAAGTGGAATATGGTATCTAAATAAAATAACATGCAAAAGTTTGAAAATAAGTCAGATTGTTTGATTCGTGGGTCACTTTAGTAACATCAATGGATAATATAAGCGGTGTGGATCTCAAAGCCCGTTCACCTGTAGAGATATTTTAATAGGGTAATACTAAAGTGACTTATTTTAAAAGTGAGACTTTCAATACATTTTCTACCATTTTATTTTTAGTACAATTCTCGTGTCAACATTGTAAAAAA